TTCATCTATTAATATTTAAGAGTTGAACATTTAATTTTTTATTTTATATATATATATATATATATATATATATATAGATAGATAGAGAGAGAGAGAGAGAGAAGGGAGAGAAATAATAACAGTATAGTCAGCGAGTAGTTTCAAATGGGACAGATATAGAAATGTAGGCGGGCTACTTAAAAATAAATTCAACGAATTCAGTATTTCGATTACGCATGATGTTGACAATTTTTTTTTTTTTATTCGGCTTATTTCCAAATTCCATGAAACACATAATCCACTAATATTCAAGACAACTTATCAATTCTGGGCGGGATTTCAATGATTTCCACAGTGAAAAAAAAAGAAAAGAAAAAGAAAAAAGAAGCCATCCGGGGCGGAGTCAACTGTTTGTATCGGGTCCAACCAATCTACTACAACGAAAATAATTTTACAAACGCATATATATATATATCTATATATATATATATATATATATATATATGTATTAACTAGCTGTGAGAAGCAAGGGTTGAAAAAATAGCCAATCAGGTAGGAAGGAAAGAAAAGGGAAGCGAATAAGAGAAGGAGAGGAAGAGATAATTAAGGAAGAGAAATTGAGGACAGGTTGAGTTATAAAAATATGAATGAATAAAGATTAATGAATGGATTTATGCGTTTATGTATGTGTGTGTAGTTTTATATTTGAATGTCTTTTTTTTATTGAATGTAGGTGGGTGGGATCGACCGACTAGAAGAGAGAGAATGTGAGACCCAAAGGGAGAAAGAAAGGGAGATCAGAAAAGAAAGAAAAATGAAGGAAAAAAAAAAAAGTAAGAGGAACGGGGAGAGTAAATTTGAAAATAAAATCGTGGGGAAGTGGTGGTGGTGGGAGGACAAAGCAATGTAAACGCAACGAATGAAAAACAAAAGAACTCTTCAGTAAAAAGAACAGAAAAAGGAGGAAAAGAAAGGAAAAAAAAGAAAAGACTAAAAGGAGAAATGGAAGTGGGGGTTTTATCTTTATTATTACTATTATTATTATTTTATATCGTAAATAAATCGTTTTGCTTGGTTCGTTTTCTTGTTCTATATTACAGAAGGTTTGTTTTGACAGTATGGGTCTGGTGTCGAGTTACTCGTGTGTAAGTATCCCAGGCCAGAATACGTACATGACAGTTTATCGGCTGCGAACAACGAAAACCCTTAGTTAAAAGAGAGTTGCCAAAGCCGCAGCAGGACTAAAATACTCTATGGCGTCGTGCATTTACAGACAGTTCTACACGGCGCCTGCCATCACTTATTTATTACTTATAACCTGTGTTTCTTGTTGGGACAATTCAGGTAAGTCAATTTTTGTTTCTTTTTTTTTTTTTTTCAAAAGATTTTCCCTCTTTTTACATTTTTACTTTTCTCTCCTCATTTTTTTTATGAATGTTTTGGAAACATTACAGATTTTGATGCATTTTTGTAGCTATTTATTTTTTAAACTGAACATGTTTTTATTTTTTTCTGTATCAATTAATTGGAATCTAAATTTAGAAATGAAGGAACTTTTTTCTTGATTTACGATATTTTTCAGTTAGCAAAATATGACAATCTTTTTAATAATATCAAAAGGTTGGGGAAATGTTTCTTTATCTCGATTTTTTACTATCGAAATTAAAAAAAAAAATCTGTAATTCATCTTGTCATTGTTTACGACACTGTTCGTAAGCACGACAATAAGCATTTCGCTTGCATTTGTTTATCGATTATTTTACCTGGATTCATACTAAAGTAGAAAAAAATCGCCTTCATTTATTTTAAATACCTAACGTTGTACCTTAATAAAAAGGTCTCAGCATAACAGTCCTTAAATTTTACTTGAACAGAAGATGTAAGAAAAGTCAAAACGAACCAAAAACAAAAAGGTTGTTTGTTTTAAGGAGCTAGATCAATTTTTTGAGGCTGGGTACGTGTCGATAAAAATACTAATATAAATTCATTACTATCCAGCCATCGGTTACGAAAACAGTGTACCGCCATCTACAAGCAATTTTAAAAGTAATTATCCTTATCGAAATTCATTCGTCGTTTTTTAATAATAATAAAAAACTAAGCCCACTTAGCCATTTCTTTCCTTTAAGAATTTAACATCCGTGTTCGGGAATTACAATTAAGCTGTGACAAACGAAAATACCCTTTGTAATTGGGTGTTTACTAAGCTTAAGCAAGTTTTTGGTACAAGGCTAGGGTATCCGGAGAGAATTGACTCGGCTACTAGGGTAATGGTCTACATAACTCACTAGATATTACTCCATGGCGAGACGCTTGACTCATGTCGCTTACACTGAGGAGGTTAAAGAAAGCGGTACAAGTAAAGTACTGTGGTCCGTGCCGAGATGTGTGTGATGTAACAGAAACATGTGTGAATTCATACATTAACTGCCTTCTTGATTCCTGTTCTTTTATTGTTACTCCTCTTTAATGTTTTCTTTTTCTTATTCTTTCACACTCACTGACTCCATTGTGTCTTAGTGGCTTTATTGCCTTGCTCAGGGTGAGATGATAAAGCTTCGTAATCAGGCATATTTGAGACCTTCAATTTTTTTTAAAACCCTTTCAGTATTTCACCTTTAACCTTTGGTATTTACAATGTTGTTTTCACCTTCCCCTTCCTCTGAAGCATTTATTTCAGTCTTTGTTACTTCTAAAACTTATCTGACGTAATACTAAAAAGTAATTTGTCATTTCAGTCACGTAATTTGTTTCTGATAACGGATATCAATGTGGAATGTAGAATTGGCTAGCCGAGTTCAAATTCCGGCCTTGTCTGCTGGCAAAGGCGTGAAGCCATTTCTTTCTCCCCCAACTGAATTAAGAGTTAAAAAGCAGAGTGCACTGGGCTCTTTAGCATTGGATGGCAACCAGTCTGACAGAAGGAAAAACGTCTAAATTCCAAACCGTAGAAAAGCGATAAGAAAACTAGTCCATTCTCTTCTCCAACAAGGGAAATTTAACGATAATAAAGAAAAGGGAATCTGTGGAGAGTCATGATCACCATGGCATTAAAAATAATTCGTTCTTTGTTACTGCGTGAGGCTGCGAATTCTTTACGTTTACCACGCTGTCTTTCACACACACATAACGTCGCGAAATGCTGTACGTGACTTGTACCAAGAAAGCTATTCTTTTAAATCTGGATTTTAAAAATATTTTGTGCATCTTGCTTTGGAGTAATTACTATTAAGCTAGTTTCACAGAATATTAGAGAGTTTGACCCCTACTGAGTGCTCCATATTTTTAGTCTTATGCCAGACAATGCCCCGTAAATACCAGAACGAATGTCATTATTTCAAAAATGCCACTTGATGAATAGTATGTGTGGATGCAGACATTTTTGGGCTTTGGAGTAATTCGCAGTGATCACTTCAAACAAAATCAGAAAAAAATTGTTTGTATGCTTCGCTGTGTAGCAGTGATTAGCATGTTAATTGAGCACATTATTTTGTGGCCTTGTGTCAGGCTCAAATTGGTAAATATCAATTTGACCTACTTAATGGTTGGGGTAATGTTGCTTTATTTCTACAATTTCTCTTTGTTTTGTATCCAGAAAAACTATGGCTTTGAATATAGACTTTTGGACGCGTCCTCATGCGTTTTTCTTTTGTAACAGTTTTTTTTATAAAATAGTTTTTCCAACATTTTTCCTGGCAATAGTTTTTTGATAATTTTTTTTTTTTGATAATTCTTTAGCCAGAACCTTGCTCAGTAGACTGAACAGCTATTATTTATTTATAATAATCATAAAAGCAAAAAATTGTAAAATGAACGATTTCATGGAGACTTTCAATAATGGAAGCTTTTTACTGCGTATTTTCGTATAAGTTTGTTGAAGTGTTAAAAAAAAAGCAAGCCTTACTCTGAAAACTGGATACGAAAAGTTAACCGCGCGAAAATACATGAACGTCCGATCATACTTTTCTAAGAGTCTTGAAAACTCCTTTTCAAACAATGCTAAGATGCCGATTTTCCATACTTACCCAAGTCTCCTTGATTGAATAATTGATGCTAATCTAACCACTTACTTCATAGTGAAATACCGCGTTATAGAACTCGGCTATATTGCGTTCGTTTTTTAAATTTTGTTCATCATTTTAACGCTGTTTCAGTCATCTCTTTCGAAATTTATAAAAGGAATAAAATGTTGAACATTTTCTAATTTAAAAAAAAAAAAAATCATCTTTAAAGCTTTCATACCGTGACGTGTTTATTGTATAAATGGCGTCTTGTTTGTATCTCGTCGTCGTCGGTTTTATTTCGTATCGAAGAATTTAATTACCTCTTTGCTGACTGCTTCCTTTATGATGATGATGGCGTCGATAACTACATTCGCCGCCAATATGCAGGTTCAGGACTAGAAGCTTCCAGTTTCACCAAAATCTACTCTCGTCATCCATTCCCTATCGTTGGTTGAAGGTGTAAGAAAAGCAGAAGAAAATGCCGATGACGTGAATTTGTTTAAGGTGAAAAATAACTTGCCAGGAAGTGACCCACGCACTTGATTTCCTGACCTTCCTCTGCGGCACATATGGAATGAGGCATGCAGAATCCAGTTATGAAATGGACTGCCGCTAACTCTGTTATAATTCCGAGTGGCGCTTTCTGTAGCATGTCCGTCATGCGTAGCTCTCTTCATCCGCTGGTTCAACCGTTGGAGTCTTTGTATCTAAATAAGTCCTAACTTACCTGCAATTTCCTAGAAAGACAGATTTTCTCTATTCATTAATGGAATTCTAGGAGACGGAATAATAAAACTGTATGAAGCGAATTTTTCTATTGACTGATTCATTTTTTACGATTTATCAACTCTTTGCATATTATTTAAAGCTAGAAAATATTTTTACATTGTAAAATGTTTTTTCAGATAATATTTTGGTCATACAAGTCATACTAATTAACCCATAGCTCCGGGGGGGAAGAAAAAGAGGACAATTTTTCCAAGGGTAATTACGTGTAAGAGAATATACACATCATAGCTTACTGCACCTGATATTCCCAAGCGAACACCCGTCTATGTACTGACCAGGCTCGACGTTGCTTAACTTCTGTGATCGTACAGGAACCGGTCTTAATCTTTCAGACATCAATGGGAAATCAACGTTCAAAATTTCGGCGTTTTTTTTTTTTTTTTTTTTTTATATAGCACAAACACAGATCTTTGGACAAGGGGGTACATTTCTTTGCGATTCTGTAGCACTCGTCCACAGTGATCAAAGATGGATGGGTGATCTTTACCGAGGCGCTCTGTTTATTGCAAATCTTGTTGCGCGTTTGTTTTCTTTATTTCTCCTTAGCAAGGCCAACCTTCAGTTCGTTGCTCTAACAATGGAACTGTAACAATCCCGTTTAGTGAGATGTTGAAATTGTATTTTATTTCTGTTCCTCTTGTGACAAGCCATCGTCATATCAGTGTGGGAAAGATTATCTCACTTCTTGTTTCTTTCCAGTTAGCAGACAAATAACAAATCAATTCAGTCTGTTGACAAGATTAGACTGTTAGAAACTTCCTCTCGCGGCTATCATTTCAACCACGAATTGAACGAATGTTTTGTTCATCTTTTAAAAAGCAAAGCCTAACACTTGGCGTTCATTGTTTTGTGGGAATTCTTTTTAATTTGTCTGGAGATGTTACACATTAACAGTGTACGATTTTTTTTTCATGAATTCTATCTTGTAATAAACATAACTTTTAGGTTCTTGTAACAAAACAAGTAACTAAAAAATCTGTTTGAATAGTGGACATGTGAGTAGGAAGTCTCCTAAGTCTGTTTTTAACTCCAGTTTACTAATATTTCCTTCTTATTAAACAGTCCAATTAGGGAGGAGATACAAAACCTTATTAATGCTATAAAAACGAACATATTGAAATTATATATAATTATACAGTTATATATATTTCCAAGATGTATTGTTGAATATAACATCAACGAATGCCTATTATGTTTAAATTAAGGGCCATTCTAAGCTTCATATAGTTTCGGGAGAAAATAAAGACAAAAACGGTCACGGAATAGCAGACGCTGGACGTAAATTCGTATGACGCAACCGTTATCGTCGCATAGTAAATATCTATGTAAACATAACAGGATACCATATTTGATGGTGAACAACTCTGTCGTAATGTCCATATAAACACTCTGATGATGGCTCATGTGAGCTGAAAGCTTAGATCGAGGAACAGAAAATAAAAAAATATCCAAATGTTGGACAGTTGAAACTAAAAGCCACTATACGAGGCTTAGAGCGACTCATGGTCAAACATGATAGACATTTGTTGTCTCTTACATTTAACAATATATGTTTGAATGACGATCAGCTTTCCAAGTGTACACACACACACACATATATACACATATATATATATATATATATATATATATATATATATATCGCGTAGTCATGTGTGACGTCATGAGCTGCGGTGCGATTTTCGCTTCCAGCATCTTATATGCACGAGTTTATCGTTGCTTGGAAATCATCCACGTAAAGAGAAACAGACTATCATCACATTCTTGTTCGTGTATTGCTTAATATATTGTACAGTAATTGTCATCTTTGATAATGGCTTATGTAAGCCGAAAGCTTAGATTGGATTAAAAAATATGTATCAATATTGTGATTTTCTTTCTTCGTTTAATGATAATGTTATTAAGCTTATAAGACGATATGAAAAGAATTCACATAAAATAAATAGACAACACTTGTCTATTATTTAATGAAAGATGTATGAATATATATATATATATATATATATATATATATAAATAGTGTAAAATTACAACGTTCGTAACATTCAATTTAAAAGAGGGCTCAGTACAATGTAGAGCAATATTCTTTATGTTAGGATATTACATCAACAACATGTCAAAAACGCTACACAAATGCAGTCGCGTTTCGATGCGAATCAACGCATTTCATCAGGCGTTAATAAATAACTAGACCAGTTGTTCACATCGAAAAACGACTGCATTTGTGTAGCGTTTTTTTGACATGCTGTTGATGTAATATCCTAAAATAAATGATATATAAAATGTGTTGTAAACTTCTGAGCTTGGTACTCCATTTTGATCTACCAATGACGTCAATTAATTGGACTGAGGGTGATTTCATGTTTAACTGAAATGTTATGACCAATAAAATATGGTTATGAAGTTAATTTATTGTTATCTTATCGTGAAACACTGTTGTGAATGACTGACGCCCAGCTTATATCATAAAATTTAAAATGTTTTTAATAAACGTCTGTAGTCGACTTGTAACAACAATAATGGCTGATTTCTCGTTTCCGAATATACACGCCTGATAGAGTAGTTAGCTAATCCCTGTTGCAAACGCCTGCTCTGGCATATTATTGTCTGCACCCACAGAGTCAACATGTTGTTTATACTGCAACTATGCGAATCTTGGTTTTCGGGTGAGAGCGGATAATTTGACATGATCATTATTTGAACAGCTTCAATACGTTTAACCCCCACCCTGACTTGTATACGGTATTTAATCTTTTTCTAGCATATATTTTAACCTGTATCGGTTGTTTTTCAAATTTCAGGGAGAATTTTTTTAAGAGTAGACTAGTTCTTTTTCAAATTATTTATATTTTGCCAATTTAAAATTCCATCGCGTCTTGGCGATTTTTAAAGCAAAAACGCCTTTTTATTATAGAGAAACATATTGATCCTTTTTCGAGTATGTGGCATTATTTCAATATATATTTTTTTATAACTTCTTTTTTCCTACTTTTTGAGAGAGAGGGAAATCTCGCATAAACTTCCTTTCTCTTATGACTGAAGGGTTCACTTGACCTGGGTTCTAAGTTATTTTTTATGTTATTGGGAACTAGAAAGAGAGCACATGTGTACGTAATGAGAAAGCCTTTGACATATTTCAGACGATAGTGTTCCTCGCTTGAGGACCCTACCCCCAAATCTGTCTGTGGTAAGCTGATAGCTGAAAATGGATTAACAAAACGTGATTTTAAGGTCTGAATTACGAGACAGGAAGGAATAATAATAATATGAAATTTATTTAAATATGATGTGTGTACTCAACAGCCACTAAAAAGTAGGAATGGCGTTTGTGTTTTCTTTCTCTCTGACATCGTCTGGACCTCGGTATGAGGTAGGGTCTGCAATTAAATTTCCACACGCTGTTTGGTGGGTGAAGGTCAGGATTTCGAATGCTGAATATTTTAAAGCATGTGGGTCTTTCTCACTTAGAAGATTGATGCCGTCTCCATTTAACCTTGAATATATAGAATTACGATATCCACGCCCCTAATTCTTATCCGCGGAGGATAGGTGCTGAAACAAATGTTAAATGTCTAAAACCGTAGATAGTACCAAATCCGATGTACACTGTTTTGCTACACACAGATATCATACATACCTCGTCCTGGGTATATTGATCAGGAGACTGGATGTTTTGAGAAACACCTTAACTGTTGTTGTTCTCGGGTCTACCCTGACCTGGGGTGGTAGCACCTGTTAGGGTCCCAGCTATGGGCAAATAGTGAACCCCCAAACAAAAATCAACAGGACATTTTCATAATAAAATGACCAAAAAAAAAAACATTTTTATAGGAAAATGTCAATCAATGCAACACTAAAATATAAAATACATTTTTATAGTAAAATTACCAACAATACATTTTATCATCTACAAAATATATACCTAAACATAGCTTTACTCTGAAAATTATGTACAAAATATCTGTAGTTAAAAAGCATAAAATTACGTACAAAGGATTTAGATTTCAGCATTAAATAACCCATAGAGATGTTGATATGCCACCACACAAAATCAACATGAAAGAACTCTTTCATGACATTAATCCATATAATATCCCACAATTTCTTAAAGAAATCAAACTGTATTCAAAAATATAACTTCAACAAAACTGCAACATAAAACACATATCACCGCCTCTAGTAATTATGTCCACACAAACATGTATATACTCGAAAGCTGAGTATCATCTACCATGTATTCAATTGTGAAAGCAGAATAACATATCACATTTTTACACTATTTACATTATACAGACTATTGTCCTCATCTTTGTCGCCATTTTATTACAACGTTTCGGCTATTGTACGGCCTTCTTCAGGTGGTTGGAATGTCGAAGTGAACCCTTTATTTCGCTCACTGGGTAGACTGTTCTAGTTCCACGTGCTATGTTTAATGGATTGTCTCCTGTTAATTCCCCTCTCTAAGTTCTCCACCGCCTTAACCAGATATTGGTTATCCACTGTGCACAGTGGATAAATGCGTAAGTTAGATCCAGTGACAGGACCCAAAGAGTGTGAGTTCAATTTCTCGTTAAGGCGGTGGAGAACTTGGAGAGGGGAATTAACAGGAGATAACTGATAACTGACATCCATTAGACATGGCACGTGGAACTAGAACAGTCTATCCCAGTGAGCGAAATAAAGGGTTCAGTTCGACATTCCAACCACCTGAAGAAGGTCGGAGCGTACAACGGCCGAAACGTACTGGTGAAGAAACAAATCAGTTTTACATACCTATGGTAAAGCATAACTTACAAATTTGACATAAGATGTGTCAAATAATACTTAACGAATTAGAACAATTCTAATACAAGACACCGTCATCATCTTGCTTCTTTATCTTCATAATCTTCATTTCCTATCACGCACTTTTTTCTAAAAAATAATAAGCAAAATCAGGGGTGCGTATTATGCACAGCTACAAACATCTTTAAAAAACTGCAGTAAAATAAAATAAGAATTATAAAACTAAATTAGAATAATATTATGTTTAAAACCACTTTTAAAATAAGAGTAGGAAACATTGGTCGTAATGAAATTGGAGATGTACAATTTATAGAGTTTGATTATCAAATAAGGGGTGCGTATTATGCATGAGAAGAAGCATTTTCCCACACTCTCAGCACACTTTTAGGTGTGCATATTATGGATGAAGGCGTATTATACATGGGGAATTACAGTATCTTATTAATCGTTTGTATTTTGTGTATAACCCTCCGTCTTGAGTGACCATCGAGCCTTGTATTGGGTGAATTTGAGTATAAAAAATGATTTCTTTGACT